GTGGGAGTGGGGCATTCATTGCTAGTAACCAGCAAGATGCTTTTCATAGATGTGTGCTATGAATGCCATGTGAAAACCAGATTCCACGCACATGAAAATACGCACACAGCTGCACACACATGGACCTATCCAGCCATCCATGAGAAAAAACTGTGTTAGTGGAACATCAAGCTGAGAAACCACCCAGTCTTCATTCTGTCACCTTGTGGGTTTGCCTTAGCCTATATTTGTGTGCATGCCTCTCTTTACTTCATTTTATAAGTTGTAAAAAGATGCAGTGTATATAAGAGAATAGAAACTGGAAACTTACCTCCTGCACATCCAGTACAATGTTGTGCTAACTGTGCATCAGAGGCTTTGCCTCTAACCTGATATCATTAGTGTAGAATACAAAAATGTCGTATATAGACTGTAGAGAGAATTGTAATCCCAAATGGCTCGCTAGACATGAGGCTAATTAACAATTTGCTGATACATATATCTTTTTCCATAGAGATATTAGGCCTCCATTTTTAAAAAGCCAGACATCATTGCAGTCTCTCCTGTTTTTGATTTGTTCCCAGGTTGTTAGTGAGTACTTTCCTTCAGAACAGGCCACAGACTTTATTAAGGCCACACTGGATGTTATGCTGTCTGCTAGCGCCACCTGTGCCACGGCAGCTGGACTGTGGATGAAGATCATCCTGAAGGAGTGTGGAGATGCCATGCTGGACCAGGTAAAACAGGAAACTGGAGAGGTTTTCTGCCTAAACTCTAGGCTTTTAGATCTTTGCCCTCATGTGTAATGAACAAAAATCTTGCTGTTTCTCCCCCTCGGACATAGAGTCGATTCCATCTCTGTTCCTACCCTAAGATAGGCAATGGCAGAATCAATAGCAGTAGACCGAGATAATCCAAGGGAAAAGGAAGATGGTTGGTTATTTATTTGTCTAGCTTGTTGCCACAGTATTCAGCCAAGAAAGGCTTGAAAAAACAGACTCTGGGGAAAATACAACAAGACAGAATGACTGGCACTTGGAGACATCCAGTTCTTAAGAGGCCTATGGCTAAGGGCTACCTGGATAAAAATAGCACTGTAGTCATTCCCAGTCAGTCTGGAGCCTGGGCTCTGAGACCCACCCTCTTGCCAGGTTTCAGAGCCTGGGCTCCAGCCCGAGCAGGAACAGCTACACTTTTAGCCCCATAGTGCAAGCCCAGGAGTGCTGCCAGCTTTTCCGCTGCCTAGGGCGGTGGAAGGTCCTGCCCCGAAATGCCACCCCCCACCCCAGAGGCCGCAGAAGGTCCCGCCGTGGAAATACTGCCGTGGTCACCGCCCCCTAAATTGCAGTGCCCTAGGCGACCGCCTAGGTCGCCTAATGGGTTGTGCCAGCCCTCTGCAAGCCCCACAGGCCCAGGTTGACCTGAGTTCTGAAACTCACTGCTGTGGGATTTTTTTGCTGTGTAGACGTACCCTTTAAGAATAGAAGGAGGGAGGGAGAAAACTATAGTGTCTTTGGGATCCACTATTTATATGCCTTATTCTGGAGCCCAGTGCATTAGGGCTAGATGAAAGGAGCACTCCACAAAACTTCTAACAAGGCTGGTGAAAGGCCTCAGGACAGGGAACCCTCGCAGCAGAACTGCCATGTTTGCCCAGTGTTTTGAAGATGTGAAGGGCTAGGAATGACTGAGAGGTCATCACCTGTTCATAGTCCCAGGCATTTGCACACTGTGTTTAAAGCACTTGCATATTTTGTGCTTGTGGTTGTTTATGAACTCCGCATTCTTTGAGGCAAATGGTCAGAT